TCAGACGAAATAATGATTTTCTGGTAATCTTTTCTTGTTTTGGTCAAAAGTTTTCTATCTTTTTTTCCTTTGTTGTTGATAAAAATCTCTAAGAGTTGGTACTGCCCTTGATAATGCGTGTAAATTTCTTAATTTAAAACTCGACTTTTGCACTTCGTTAATAATCCATTTATTTTTAGTTGTTTTGATTTTTTCCTTGTTGATGGAAAGCTATTATTAAAATGATACAAAAAGATATTTACAAAAGCTTAAAATGCTAGATTAGTTTCTAAGGGAGAGCGCCCATCAAACTGGCATGGCATGTGGCAAGTAGCAAGTAGCACGCGTCTAGCATGATACTTAAAATGTAACCAATGAAAACGATTGATTCAGCGCACACCAAAATGACAGTGACGTCATTCATTATAATCATTCGTTTCCATTGGTTACATTTTAAGTATCATGCTAGACGCGTGCTACTTGCTACTTGCCACTTGCTACGTCAGTTTGGTGGGCACTCTCACTTAGATTCCATAAACATTATTCCAGTTTTCGTTAATGAGTTTAACGATAAAGTGATTTATTGATTCCTCGCCAAATTGTCTTTTTGTATAAAGTATGACAATTCCATTTCAAAGTCAAGTTCCACCAAAACTGTTCTATGACCTGATACAGTGTTGTTAAGTTACACATAACAAACCGGAGTTGGAGACATTTACAAATACATTATCTAATGTTGTAACGCTGGTATATAGAGCCTTGGTGTTTTCGGATGCTATTTCACCGATTTTAAAGTTTTTTCGTAGCACTCTCCTTCACTTGATGTCTTATATTATTCACTGGATGTCTTATATTATTCACTGGATATTTTCAATAATTTATTTCCCGTTATAACTCTCAGAAATTGAGTTTATTGTAGACCACAAATAAAATATTTGTTTACGTTTTGGTTACCGTGTTGCCACTTGACTTTCAATATTAGCACATTTTAAATCACATGTTAAAGTATTGATATTTAACAATAAAACACTGAAAACTTTGTTTTCAAACTTCCACAAAATTTATTTTAAATATTATCACTACAGCTGTTTCGGCTGATTGCCTTTCTCAAGTGATCTATTTTGGCTTGGGTTTACAAATTTATAGTCTCTAATGAAATAGGTTGAGGAGGGGAGAACTGTTTGTCTCAAGTTGGTCATTCAGAATTATATCTGTGTTTTTTAATTTGTTGATTTCCATAGATTCTAACAAAGATAGCTTAAGGCCTTTATTTTGAATGTGAAGAATTTTAAATTTGTCATTAAAAGAATGATTATGATCTAGAAGGTGAAGTGCGTATGTCGAATCTGTTTTTCTATTCTTGAAAGCCCTTTTATGTTCTGCTATTCGTTTATCAAAGTTTCTACCAGTTTGACCGATGTAAGTTTTTGGGCAGTCGCCACATTGGAGTTTGTATACACCACTATTTAAGTGTTTTTTATTTTGGCTCTTGTTATTTTTAATATATTTGCCTAGGTTGTTATTTGTTCGGAAAGCTGGTGTTATTCCTTTCTTTTTTATGTGTTTGGCAATTTTTGTTGTTATTTTGCCTGTATATGTAATCGAGCAGAAGGTACTGGGTTTTTTCTCTGGTGGTGGAAATACTAATTTCAGGGCTTTCTTGTGTAGTTTTTGATTTAACATTTTATTAATTGTTTGTTCGTTGTATCCGTTGTTTACTGCTATTTGTTTAATTATATTTAATTCTGTCTCAAAGTTGTCTTTTGACATCGGAATTTCTGTTAATCTATGTAACATACTATGATAAGCTGCCAGTTTATGTTGTGTTGGATGGGATGACGAATTGTGTATAGTTGTGTCAGTATGGGTAGGTTTATGAAATATGGAGAAGTCATGTTTGTTTTGAAGTCTGCTAATTTTTAAATCTAAAAAATTTATGGATTGATTTTGTTCTGTTTCTATTGTAAATTGAATATGACTATGAACTGAATTAATATATGATAAAAATTGGTCGAGTTGCCTGTTAGTTCCTGTGAAACATACCAGTACGTCGTCTACGTATCTCCACCAATATAAAAACTGTTTGAATACGGGATGTTTTGAAATCTTTGTCTCTAGATGATCCATAAAAATATCTGATAACAATGGGCTTAGAGGATTACCCATTATAAGTCCTGCACTGTTATTTGTATATATTTTATTATTAAATTCAAAGTAGTCCTGGTTTATGCAAACTTCAAGAAGATGTAAAATTTCAGATGTAATTATTGGATTTGTACTATTTTGGTCTAAAAGGTTTTTTACTAGAATAAAAGTTTCTGTAGGAGGGATACTAGGAAAAAGATTTTTTACGTCAAATGAAATTAATCTGGAATTGTTAGGTAATTGAAAATGTTGTATTTTATTAACTAGTTCTATTGTATTTTTTATGGTAAATTTAGGTGAAAATTTAGTGTGGTCTAAAATAATCTCTAACAGTTTTTTTGAAATTTTATATGACGGAGCTGTATAAAAAGAAACTACAGGTCTTATTGGGTGATCCGGTTTGTGTAGTTTAATGAAAGAATATAATTTAGGAGGCTGTGGGTTCATAATATTGAGGTATTTCTGTTCTATTGGATTTAGTATTGATTTTGAATTTTCTAACGCTAGCTTAATTTGTTTTTGATATTTTTCTGTCGGATCTTTGTGTAAAGTTTCAATATTTTGATTATTTAAGAATTCTATTGTTTTGTTATTATATTCTATTTTATCTATAGCAATAGTAGTGTTACCTTTGTCTGCTTTTGTAAACACGATGTTGTTTTCTATTGATTTATTTTTAATTGAAATTGCTGTTTTATTCTCTTTGTAACAGGAATTCTTAGTTTCACTACACACATCTCTAATAGATTTGGCAATTATACTTTTTTCGATATTGTTAGCAGTTTTGTTTAACGCTACTTCACATTCTACACCTAAATATTCTAAAGTTCTCTCATTATTATGTTGGGGCAAGTTGTGTTTAAATCCTTTCTCTAAAAGTTGTATCTCGCTGTTACTAAATTTAGTATCTGTTAAATTTATAAATCTATTGAAAAAAGTATGGTTCGAAAAACTTTTTGTATAATGAATATTGGGTTTTTTACTATTGGAAATTAGATTATTTAGTTTTTTACACTGTGTATTGAATTTTTTATCTATTATATTATCTATATTAATTCTCACGTTAGAATCTAGGATGTCAAATTCTATATTATTTAATCTATAATTTAATTCTGAATGACATACCTTAAGATAAACAGATATTATATCCCGTTTGTTGTATTGGTATTTTCTGTCTTGTTTAAGCCATCTGGTCTGACCGTGATGAATCCCTTTTTGTGCAGCGGGGCTGTGGTTTTTGGTTTTTAACTGAATATACTTCGGGAACACTTTATTTTGTAAACACATATTTAAAAACCAGATGTTTTGTGTCGCCAGTCTACGTTTCAGATGTAATCTTGAAAACAATATGGTCAAAAGTCCTGTACTGACTTCTTTTAAATAATTGATGGATTCGACCGTTACTTGATGGAAATTCATTTTATGTAACAATAAAACACTGAAAACTTTGTTTTCAAACTTCCACAAAATTTATTTTAAATATTATCACTACAGCTGTTTCGGCTGATTGCCTTTCTCAAGTGATCTATTTTGGCTTGGGTTTACAAATTTATAGTCTCTAATGAAATAGGTTGAGGAGGGGAGAACTGTTTGTCTCAAGTTGGTCATTCAGAATTATATCTGTGTTTTTTAATTTGTTGATTTCCATAGATTCTAACAAAGATAGCTTAAGGCCTTTATTTTGAATGTGAAGAATTTTAAATTTGTCATTAAAAGAATGATTATGATCTAGAAGGTGAAGTGCGTATGTCGAATCTGTTTTTCTATTCTTGAAAGCCCTTTTAACGTGAGAATTAATATAGATAATATAATAGATAAAAAATTCAATACACAGTGTAAAAAACTAAATAATCTAATTTCCAATAGTAAAAAACCCAATATTCATTGTACAAAAAGTTTTTCGAACCATACTTTTTTCAATAGATTTATAAATTTAACAGATACTAAATTTACTAACGGCGAGATACAACTTTTAGAGAAAGGATTTAAACACAACTTGCCCCAACATAATAATGAGAGAACTTTAGAATATTTAGGTGTAGAATGTGAAGTAGCGTTAAACAAAACTGCTAACAATATCGAAAAAAGTATAATTGCCAAATCTATTAGAGATGTGTGTAGTGAAACTAAGAATTCCTGTTACAAAGAGAATAAAACAGCAATTTCAATTAAAAATAAATCAATAGAAAACAACATCGTGTTTACAAAAGCAGACAAAGGTAACACTACTATTGCTATAGATAAAATAGAATATAATAACAAAACAATAGAATTCTTAAATAATCAAAATATTGAAACTTTACACAAAGATCCGACAGAAAAATATCAAAAACAAATTAAGCTAGCGTTAGAAAATTCAAAATCAATACTAAATCCAATAGAACAGAAATACCTCAATATTATGAACCCACAGCCTCCTAAATTATATTCTTTCATTAAACTACACAAACCGGATCACCCAATAAGACCTGTAGTTTCTTTTTATACAGCTCCGTCATATAAAATTTCAAAAAAACTGTTAGAGATTATTTTAGACCACACTAAATTTTCACCTAAATTTACCATAAAAAATACAATAGAACTAGTTAATAAAATACAACATTTTCAATTACCTAACAATTCCAGATTAATTTCATTTGACGTAAAAAATCTTTTTCCTAGTATCCCTCCTACAGAAACTTTTATTCTAGTAAAAAACCTTTTAGACCAAAATAGTACAAATCCAATAATTACATCTGAAATTTTACATCTTCTTGAAGTTTGCATAAACCAGGACTACTTTGAATTTAATAATAAAATATATACAAATAACAGTGCAGGACTTATAATGGGTAATCCTCTAAGCCCATTGTTATCAGATATTTTTATGGATCATCTAGAGACAAAGATTTCAAAACATCCCGTATTCAAACAGTTTTTATATTGGTGGAGATACGTAGACGACGTACTGGTATGTTTCACAGGAACTAACAGGCAACTCGACCAATTTTTATCATATATTAATTCAGTTCATAGTCATATTCAATTTACAATAGAAACAGAACAAAATCAATCCATAAATTTTTTAGATTTAAAAATTAGCAGACTTCAAAACAAACATGACTTCTCCATATTTCATAAACCTACCCATACTGACACAACTATACACAATTCGTCATCCCATCCAACACAACATAAACTGGCAGCTTATCATAGTATGTTACATAGATTAACAGAAATTCCGATGTCAAAAGACAACTTTGAGACAGAATTAAATATAATTAAACAAATAGCAGTAAACAACGGATACAACGAACAAACAATTAATAAAATATTAAATCAAAAACTACACAAGAAAGCCCTGAAATTAGTATTTCCACCACCAGAGAAAAAACCCAGTACCTTCTGCTCGATTACATATACAGGCAAAATAACAACAAAAATTGCCAAACACATAAAAAAGAAAGGAATAACACCAGCTTTCCGAACAAATAACAACCTAGGCAAATATATTAAAAATAACAAGAGCCAAAATAAAAAACACTTAAATAGTGGTGTATACAAACTCCAATGTGGCGACTGCCCAAAAACTTACATCGGTCAAACTGGTAGAAACTTTGATAAACGAATAGCAGAACATAAAAGGGCTTTCAAGAATAGAAAAACAGATTCGACATACGCACTTCACCTTCTAGATCATAATCATTCTTTTAATGACAAATTTAAAATTCTTCACATTCAAAATAAAGGCCTTAAGCTATCTTTGTTAGAATCTATGGAAATCAACAAATTAAAAAACACAGATATAATTCTGAATGACCAACTTGAGACAAACAGTTCTCCCCTCCTCAACCTATTTCATTAGAGACTATAAATTTGTAAACCCAAGCCAAAATAGATCACTTGAGAAAGGCAATCAGCCGAAACAGCTGTAGTGATAATATTTAAAATAAATTTTGTGGAAGTTTGAAAACAAAGTTTTCAGTGTTTTATTGTTACATAAAATGAATTTCCATCAAGTAACGGTCGAATCCATCAAGTATTGATATTTGGTATTTTTATATTTATTTAATTTAATTGTTGTTATAAGTAGCTTTTAAGGCTGCAGTGAATAGAGTTCAAGTAATTATGATGACTGCCTTCGAAAGAAGAAGAAAATATGAATGAAGAATAAAAATGATATTTTGTATTTTTAGCAGAGTCTGACAATGCCGTAATAGATTTGGATACACACCGTCTCTGGTGTTGAAGCTTTTTTATTTGTTGATAAGCACTATTTGTGTCATTATTCATTATTATGACAAATGTATTTTCTCGATAAAGTATCAGTCTTTTATTTTTACTGGCTGCCTTGTGATACACGCAATTGTTTTCAAATAATTATTGTTTTTAGAATTATCTTAGTTTATGCACATGTTTGTAATTATTTTTTATGCTAAACACTTTTACTTATAAATATATTTGCGCAATATACAAATTATCTATAAACCTATTAAAGTACTATCTTTTCAATAAGGCTATTTTACTTCTAAAACTATTTCCTTTTATTTATTTTACCTTCGCCACACTATTTCTTACGATAAGTGAAGATAACCTACAACAAGAATAGCTTACCTTATAAGTAATAATGTATAATGTACTTACATTGTTTCTGTTGTGGACTCTAAAATTTACAGTGTTTAAAGTGACCGCAAATTGGTTTGGTGATTTTAATAGCAAATTTAAGGAATTTGAACAAACATTCCGCAAGGGCAATAATTATTTTGGTAATTTTTTACTACATATTTATATCAGTGTGTGCATTTACAAAAATACGTGTTACACTTCCCAGTCATTGAGGGTATCAGCTGTGAACATGATAGCACATTGTCAAATTTTCCAGGCTCAATGGGAAGCTAAGCTTCATATTTTCTTTTTAGTATATATATATATATATATATATATATATATATATATATATATATATATATATATTGTTATGATATGTAAAATCGAGAAAAATATTGGTTTGCTTAAAATATTTCAAAGTTCAAAAAATTAAAATAATTCAGATAAGTCGAATAATAAACAACAAACATTTCGAAGAATGAAAGTCTTTTATCTTTGGATTACCTATATTGAACAAAACGTAAGATATGCATAAATTATTTTCTTTGTTAAAATATATTTGAGTGACGTGAATAAGCTTAAGTGAAATCCTAGACAATGGAAGCGGGTTTTCCAAATAAATTTGTGCAGTAATTAGGACAATAGAATAGATTTTAGAAAGATATGTTTTTGTTAGTTCATAAGAATTGGTAGAAAAAGATTAGTTTGTAAATAAGTTTTAGGAAATTTTATAATTGTAGGTAAAAATTTGTTTGTGTTATCGAAATGAAGAAATGGGAGATGTATGACGCGTTTTGATTGTATGAGATTGAAAAAGGTGGGATGGTTGGTTTGAGAATGAGACTTTAGTTAGTTTTTGAAGAAAAAAAGATAGTCAGTTGGTTTCCAAGGGTGCAAGGCGAACGACCGTTATTCTCGGGTAGTTTCCCAGAGGTAGGCAGCAGTAGCAGTGAAAGTTTGTGAGTTTTTGTGTAGTTAGTGTATCTGACAGAAGCTGATCCAGTAAAAGATTGTAAGCCATAATTTTCTACTTATATTCCAAGAGTCACTGTTCAGGCCAACGAGAGATTCAGTTTATCGTAAAGAGAAGATATTCCAAGAGTCAATTTTCACTCAGGCCAACGAGAGATTCAGTTTATCGAGAGGAGAAGAGGCTAGCATAATTTGAACGATTCGTGCATTTGAAGGAGATCATTAAGGACGATAAACTTGCAACAATTTGTTGTAATATTGCTGATTACCTAGGGAGCTGCTAAGAATAGATAGTGTAGGCTACAAGGAACAAGGATTTGGACCACTCATCATCATAGAGAGATAGTTTTGTTTTTCTGCAGTTTTTCTTTTATTGATAACACAATTTTTACAATTACTTTAGAAAAGATATAAATATTTTGATTAGGAGATTTAGAATAATAATTGGGATTTTGAGATTTTAACTAATATTGTTTGTACCATTAATTTTGAAGGTTCACGTACGTAGAACAAAATTTTGAGAATCATTATATGAGATATTGTTTATTGAAAACATTTGAGTGTGAATTTTATTTCATTATTTTTATTTCAATATATAATGTTATATCATAGATGTTTTTTATTATTCCGGTATTCTTTGGACCTTACCTTTCACATTTAAAGCATAGATATTGAAGCACGAATATAACCCTGAGATAAGAGAATAAAAAAGTGTGATAGAATCATAATCATATCATGTAAATAATTTTAATTAATTAATTGCTTGGCGCACTAAGATTTTAATATCAAAATAATATATATATATATATATATATATATATATATATATATATATATATATATATATATATATTATATATACATATATTGGAAATTTCCGCGGGAGCTATATGTGATTTCAGTTGTTTTCCGGGTTTGACTCCGCGTTAAGTAATTTTGGTTTTTAGAAAAACCATTGTTTTGACGACGCCCATAACGCGCTGTCTGTGAAGCGTTATTTAGCCTCTAGAGGCACTCCAGTGCTCGAACACGCGCCGTACTCGCCTGATTTAGCACCCTGTGACTTTTTCCTGTTTCCGAAGATCAAGTCTGCCTTAAAAGGAACCCGGTTCGAGTCGATGGAAGAGGTGAAGCGAAAATCGGCGGAGCTCCTAAATGCTCTTACAAAAGAAGACTTCCAGCATTGCTTTGACCAATGGAAAAAACGAATGGAACGGTGTGTGGCGAGGGAAGGGGAGTATATTGAAGGGGAGAATTCGATTGTAGAATAATTTTTAAAATAAAACTCTTTTTCATAATCAGTCTCGTTATTTAATAGCCAGACCTCGTATAATGTCGGTTTATAACGTTCTTCGACGTCTTCCGATTTCCAATCTCCATCTCATTCTTTCGTTCCATAGATCGTCCTCCAGTTCTCTTTACCTGATTTCTTTATCAACTCCTTCTCTCCAACTTTTTCTAGGCCTTCCTGGTCTCCGCCTACCTCTTGGTTGCCATTCAAGAATTTGTCTTGGTATTCTATTCTCCGGCATTCTCCTTACGTGTCCGTACCATCTCAGTTGTGTCGTTTTGATGTCATCAACAATATTATGTGTAACCCCCATGATTTCTCGGACTCTCTCATTTGTTATTGTGTCGCGTCTAGAGATTCCCGCCGAGCGAAGCCAGAAGTCCATTTTCTTTCTAGTTTGTTGAGAAACTGTTATTTAAATTGAACCAGTCAGATTCTTCCTTTAAATAAGACACTAGATTTGTCTGATGAAAATAATTCCTAATATCAGAAATTTTCAAAAAGTCTTCCTGTGTCAAATACTAATATACTTACTGTGTTTTTTTCTGTGAAGCAAGTAAAACTGCTTGCCATTCCTTTGGAGAATAGACAAATTGACAGTGAGCTTTAATGAATTTTTCCACTAGGGCAAAATTGAAGGAATCATTGTATATCGAACTTAAAGTAACACATACATTATTTCTTTAACACTTTAACTCCTGGGCCTATTTATCCGCATAAGTTGTCACAGCCTGATCACTTTTTTCATGTTCTTTAAATGCTTTATATGTATGAGTTAATTCATATAATGACATTTTTTTTTATTTTAAAAGGACTTTGTAGGGTGTGTTTATTTTTGATACACGCAGTTCACCTAGACGACTTTTCATAATGTTATTACCCATAGCTTATATGTATTGAATTTGATACACATTATTTATGAAACTTTATTACGAAAAAAACATAAGCAAACATCTAAACATATTATTTTAAATATACATTATGTGTTTCTTTTATGTAATAATCCCTAATTCTTCGTGAAATTGTGTTACATCCATTTTTTTGTTCAAAACTTTGTTGTACAGAATTAAAGCATTCACTACGGCTGTATTTGTCAATAACTCTACTCCCACTTTCCGGTACCATTTTATAGAACGTCTGATGGGATTACTGTAGGAAGCTTTTTGATCAGAGACGTCAATGTAAGACTTAACAGAATTATATTCTACTATTGTAGACGGTTTTCTTTTTATTCCTGATTTTGTACGAACGTCGACCATTTCTGGACAAGATTTTGTAGTCAAAAATGTTACTTCTCTTTTGTCGATCCATTTTCCTACAATAACTTTTGTGTTGCTCTGTAGCGCCATCATATTTCCTTTATTTACCTTTGCTTCAAACACTGACTTAGGATTGTATTTACTATTTTTACGAAGTGTTCCAATTAGATGAATATTGTTATCATTTAGTTCGTGTGCCAAATTGACACTAGTGTAAAAATTGTCTGTAACCAAAGTTCTTCCTGAGTGTAGAAAAGGTTGCATTAATTCCATGACCACTAAAGGTGCTAGTGATTGTTCCTTTGGTCTTTTTTGCTTTCCGCCATAAATTTTTACGTGATTCGACAAACGTTTTCTAAAGGGAATCATCGATTCATCAATACAAACGTATTTGCCTGGTAGCAAAGCAGATTAAAAACTTCTATTGAACGCCTGCAACAATGGTTCAACTTTGAACAATCTGCTTTCTTCAGGACAAGCTTCATTATCTGAAAAATGGAAGCAAGCAAGAAGAGCCTCAAATCTACACCTCGACATGTTTGTCGTCTTGTATATTGAGCAATGAGCACTAGTACTCGTGGTTTTGTATTCAAACCCATACATATCAAAATTCCCAAAAATTTTAATATTTATAGGTAAAGAAATAATAAATAAGACTTACTCACAATCAATTTAATTTAACTATTCAGACGACCGGTTTCGCTTTCTACAATATGCAAAGCATCTTCAGGTCTCGATACAAAGTTAAATAAATGCTGAAATGATAAAAACCCATATTAGGGTGTTGTCTGATAAAGATAAACAAATTAGATGTTATAAATTACAATAATTATGCCAATATTACATGTCTGTGGTTTATTTTAAAATGAATAAAATGAATAAAAAGGTATAAAAAGTTTAAACAGACAAGGTAAGACCCACAAATTGTCATAAAATAGTCTATTAGATTGTAATAAATTAATAAATGAGCAAATAAATAAACATTACTTACATGCCGGTACTCTATTAATTGATGGATGGTAGAACATGGTTGAAACTATCATGTATTGTTGAATGGAGAACTTAAGTCTGCTATTGTAGTTGTTTGACAGTAAACGGGAAGTTCTTGAGGAGATAGATTTGATCCAATGAAGTAGAGATATGTGTGTGATTGTTTGTTAAATGAAAGTGATGTTATATACCATTGTATTATTTAAAAGTTATTTATACTTATTCGAGAGATATATTTATGAAATGTGTGTTATTTATTGAGTATTTGTTTTATGAAGGTGACAGTTTTATGACAATGAATAAGCTTAGATGTACAAATTGTGTGGGTGTGCAATTATTTCAACTTGTAATTATCAAATTTCTTTGATAAAGTTATATTGGCAAGTTCAACCACGTTCTACCATCCATCAATTAATAGAGTACCGGCATGTAAGTAATGTTTATTTATGTGCTCATTTATTACAATCTGATAGACTATTTTATGACAATTTTTGGGTCTTACCTTGTCTGTTTTAAACTTTTTATACCTTTATATTCATTTTATTCATTTTAAAATAAACCACAGACATGTAATATTGGCATAATTATTGTAATTTATAATATCTAATTTGTTTATTTTTATCAGACAACACCCTAATATGGGTTTTTATCATTTTAGCATTTATTTAACTTTGTATCGAGACCTGAAGATGCTTTGCATATTGTAAAAAGCGAAACCGGTCGTCTGAATAGTTAAATTAAATTGGTTGCGAGTAAGTCTTATTTATTATTTCTTTACCTATTTGAAATGGACTCACACAAGCAACTCATTCATGATTTTAATATTTCTTCTCTGTTAGTATCATTCCAGTTAGTAAGATATGAATTTGTCTTAACGTTTTCACGATTTATAGCATCAATAATTTTTTGTTCGGCATATCGATTTGTTTCCTGCACTAAAATATCGAGTATCTCGTCTGTTAGGAGTAGTCTATAAAATGTTAAAGGTGTATCATTTTATGTAACAATAAAACAATGAAAACTTTGTTTTCAAACTTCCACAAAATTTATTTTAAATCTTATCACTACAGCTGTTTCGGCTGATTGCCTTTCTCAAGTGATCTATTTTTGGCTTGGGTTTACAAATTTATAGTCTCTAATGAAATAGGTTGAGGAGGGAGAACTGTTTGTCTCAAGTTGGTCATTCAGAATTATATCTGTGTTTTTTAATTTGTTGATTTCTATAGATTCTAACAAAGGTAGCTTAAGGCCTTATTTTAAATGTGAAGAATTTTAAATTTGTCATTAAAAGAATGATTATGATCTAGAAGGTGAAGTGCGTATGTCGAATCTGTTTTTCTATTCTTGAAAGCCCTTTTATGTTCTGCTATTCGTTTATCAAAGTTTCTACCAGTTTGACCGATGTAAGTTTTTGGGCAGTTGCCACATTGAAGTTTGTACACACCACTATTTAAGTGTTTTTTATTTTGGCTCTTGTTATTTTTAATATATTTGCCTAGGTTGTTATTTGTTCGGACAGCTGGTGTTATTCCTTTCTTTTTTATGTGTTTGGCAATTTTTGTTGTTATTTTGCCTGTATATGTAATCGAGCAGAAGGTACTGGGTTTTTTCTCTGGTGGTGGAAATACTAATTTCATTTCCCCACTTTCTACAACTGTACCAAAAGAAGTACATAATAATATTTTCATGTATAACGTCGAATGTATTCAAATTTCCATCAACATTGTTCCATATTAAATTTAACTGTAAATTTCTTATATGACGATTTACCATATCTATATTATTTAGATCTTCAATTTCAGATTCACTTTCGCTTATTTGCAAATTTAACTATTCATCTTGAATTGTAGGTTGACTTGTAAACATTATCATCCTAAAATATTTCAAAATTCATGAAGTGAAGAGTATTCACTGCTATCGGAAATATCAGTGTATAATGGATCGACATCTGAGTCATCAAATTCACAATCACTTATTTCGCTAAGATTTTCAGCCAGATGCTCAAATTCGTGTAAAAGAAAGTATCTCTTGATATTTTTAGACATTGTACATAAACAAACCTGACTAAAATAAAGATCTAACAGTAACTGGTATGCGACTCGACGATTTTGTGTCTCCAAATTTTATCTACAATGTTGCCGATTTTAGTATGCTAGGATTACCAAACTAACCTTGAAAATTGGTGTCCACAGCATAAAAGAATGATAATACACGTATAAATACATTACAACGGCATTCGGACCACATACAAAGTCACTTGAATGTGTTCTACTCTTGTGTATCAAATTCATACACATAGGCTCAGGGAGAGTATCTTTTGTGTATTATATATGATACACATAGGAGTCAAAGTATTAAAATGACATGCTTCTCGACAAATCCAAACCGAGGCAAGTGACCAATTCTTATTTTGTCTACTGCAGTTGTCAGAAATGGCAATAAGTTTAAAACCTTTTGTACCATATAATAAAAAAAGTTTAATTATACAGCTTCCTAATTATGTCTTTCGACATTACGTCTAATTGTGAATCGAGAGAAGTTGTGTGAGTTTTCTTAATAATCAGGATTGTCATTAACTCTTGCCACACTTATGATTTAAAATTTTGTCCTTGATTAGAATATAATACTAAAGAAACTTCAGGTCTGAAAAGCCGTGTGTTAGAAATGCTTCTGCTAGTATACTCGATTTTTAATTAGGAAGGAGTTCAATCTTAAAAAATAATTCATTGGAACCATTACGTTCTTGTTTTATCTCTATGTCATTAAAACTGGACCGAAAATATCCACTGCAAGTTGTTCAAAAGGCTCTCGGGGAAATATTGTTCTACGACTTCTGGTTCTTGGCAACAATTGATCTTCAAAATCTACAAGTATTAAGATCAATGTCTTGTCGTATTCTATAACTATTTTTATTGCCTTTGTAACTTGTAGGTTGTCGTATGTTTCAAAACGTCTTGGTAGTTCTTAACAATCTTTAACACTGCCAAAAAAATTGTTTTACTGCAAGATTTTTTTTTAGATTTTAGAACGAACTTAAATTTGTTAATTATTTATCGGTATATTTTTTCAATTTTATATTTTTTTTTCAGACAATTCCTATGATTTTGGGCAGTTTAAAGATTTCGATGTCGAGCGGTAAGTAATATTAACAAATATAATATGTGTGAAACAAAAATTTGTTTTATTCTTACATCGTGTCTAACTACAAATCTTTAGTATTATTATTGGGGCTAATAATTTGGTATGTGGTATTTGTATGTAGTATGTAGTATAGTATGTATGTAGTATTTGGTTATTATCCAAATAAATCAGCCAACTTTTGAAAATACCACGTTCGGATTTTTTAAAGCAAGAATATTTTTGATTTTTATTAAATATTAAATTTTTTGGTATCTTTTTGTTGTTCAACAATACACTCATGCCCAGTTGCACCAACAGACTGTAAATCAACTGATTTGCTAACCGTCAATTCGACGATTTAAATCAACGATCAATGGTTATTTTTCAAACGAGTTGCACCATTCTAAAAAACTATTGGTTTACAAACCGACAATTTATATGTAGCAACATTGCACGAGTACAGATGATTTCGATTATTTCATTCGAATCGGAGTGTGATCTGTCAAAAAGATTGTCAACAAAGAAAGTTTTGTAAGGTTATACCAATCCAATTGAATATTGAAAAGGTCTATATTCTTTGATTGAACTATTATAAAACATTGTTTTCTTGAAGATGGAAAATAAAGGAAGCCACTTCTTTAGTTTAGAGAAAGATATTATTTTAGATTTAGCTATTAAATATAAATTTATTATTGAAAATAAGCAAACAGATGGTGTGACAAATAAACAAAAAGCCATTGCATGGGAAAACATTAGCAAAGAATTTAATGCCATGAACATAAATACGCATCGCAACTCGAAGCAAATAAAAACATTTTATGAAAATATCAAAAGAAAGATTAAAAACAAACAAGCCGTAGAAAAGGTAACGATATAACAATCATTTTAAATAGATTTTAATGGATGTAATAAAATTTGTGTAGGTACAAAAATACAAAACAGGAGGTGGTCCAGAACAAACTGCAACCATATTATTACCTGGTGAGGAAAAATTGTTGGGAGCACTTAGATAACAATTTCAACCCCTCAAAAATGTGTATGATTCCAGTACTTCGTTTTATGAAGGCAGGTGGTAAAAATTTGTTTACATTACAATATACTCATAATATATTTTTTTAGAATCTACAAATAACGATCAGGATGTAGTTCCTTTTGAAGAGAAAGAAATAGAAAATTTAGGTAATTAAGTATGATTTGTAGTTATAAATTTCTGAGAATACATTTCTGTAGATTCAGATTGAAGCAAAAATTAATACAAATTTATTTTAGACGACACAGAAATGTTTATGACTAACTCAGCAGAATATCAGAACTGTTTTGAAATGTTCCACAGTGTCAGCGAGTTGCAAACTACTCATGATCTGGTTTTAGTACAAGATACCCCAGGTCCCAGTAAAATGATAACCCAAAAAGAAAAAAAGTCAGGTAATTTCATTTGACATGAGGATTATTTTATTATTTAGAATACATTAATTTTATTATTTTAGCAAGCAAACGAAAACTTTCTGATCTATATGATGACATTTCATCGTTAACAGCAACAAAAAAAAATAAAATAAAACAAAAGGAAGACTACATAAAGGATCAAAATAAAAATAAAGAAAATATAATTAAAATCGAAAAAGAAATAAAAGACCAAAAATTGAAAAATGACAAAATATTATTTGAGCTGGATAAAGAAATAAAGAAAGAAGCTCTGGAAGTTGTGAAATTAGAAAAAAAGATTAAACAAGTTGAATTGGCAACTAAGTTAGAAGAATATAAGCTTCGTTTTGAAAAAGAATATAATGTTTAATTTTATAGATATGTTTTAATTTTTACTATCATTTTTGTTTAATAAATAAATTTAACCATTTAATACCTGATTTTTTTTTCTTATTTGGTGGGGTTTAAGCACAATGTCATTAATAATTTTATTATAAACTTTCTATTTTTCTATATTTCTATAAAACAATTCTTTAAGAAATATATTTCACAAAATTTTTATTCAAATCAGTGTTAACAAATTAACAGATTTTTTTTAATTAAAATTTTTTTGTATTAAATGTCTTCTAACAATATTTTCTGCATTGCCTCTTACAGGAATTTCATCTTCAACGTTTTCTGCAAAAGCTTCTTCCTCCCATTCATCTCCTTTTGCAATAGCAATATTATGTAAGACAGATGTTGCAACAATGACTCTTCCTACGTTATTAAGTGCTATTTGCATTCCTGTAGCTAAAACTGGAAATCTTCTTTTCAAAACCCCATTCAACCTTTTTATAACATTTCTGGTTTTTATGTGGGCATTTTGATAACGTTCTTCAGCTTCAGATGTAGTTTGACTAAGTGGAGTTAATAAAAAATTTGTGCGTGTGTAAACACTTTCCCCAAGTAAATAACAATTAGGATATTCACCAGCTTCAAATTGGGCTCTCAATAAACTGGAGTTATATATTGTACTGTCATGTACACTACCTGGCCATCTAGCAACTATATCCATGATACGTAACTTGGAATCATATACAATCTGTACATTAATGGAAAACCACCCTTTCTGTTACAATATAGTTCAGAGTTTTCTCCACCAGGAGAATTAATTCGAATGTGAGTACAATCTATAGCTCCTATCACTCCTGGGAAGTTTGCCAGTGTATAAAATCCTTGCTCTGCCGTAGCTATATCTCTGGGATTTTTAGGCATGGTTATGTACTCTTCACGAAGGAGTGCTATATGATTGACCCACTCGATGAACAGTTCTACAGACTGTACTTTTATTTACCTCTACAAGATCACCAAGAACTTGTTGAAAGCAACCAGTTGCATAATACCTTAGGGTTATTAAAATTTGATTTAATGGAGACACGGGATTATTTCTTCCTGTCCTATAACGTAACTGTTCATGAAAACGTTCTAAAAGGACCAACACTGTTTTCTTGCTTACTCGATATCTAAAAATAATTAAAATGCATTTCTAATCATTCAGATAAATAATGATATATATATATATATATATATATATATATATATATATATATATCTTGCTTTAAATTCAACTTCATTATATTTATTATACAAATCGTTGCGATCTCTTACATATCTTATATTTGGTAACATATGCATTATATCTTCCAACTCGTCAGAAGATGAACTCGACGACGACGATGATGATACATTTTTTTAAATTATAATCTATAATACTTTAAATAAAATCTTTGCTAAAAACACCTTAATATTATAAACAGTGTAAAAGTGAGGTTAAGGTTAAAAACAGTCGATTTTTTAAATAACCGTAGAAAATCGGTTGGTTACTTTTGACAGATCAAAAACAGTCGGTTTCAATCGAGTAATGGTTGGTGCAACATATTCTAAAATAAACGGGCAATTCAAATGAAAAAATCAATCGTTTAATTGTTGGTGCAACTGGACAACACTCAGTCTTCCTACTGCTAACCAAGTCATTTGGGTTCTTCTAGTAATCTCTGCTGCTAGATTCTGTTTGCTTAGTATGATTGTGTGACCTAGGTTGCTGATACTGGATGTCACTTTTAGCTAAATCTATTGTTATATATTAATTTAGCATCAATTTCGTTTTCTTTGATTTCATTTTTAAAAATCGATTTTTTCTGATTCTCTTTTAACTTCCTTCAGCTTACAGAGAAGTTCCTCAGTATTTTTGCTTACAAGTAATATTTAATCGGCCAATTATTGATGATTTGAAAATTTACCATCCATTGTAATTCCGCGTTTTGCCCAAGTTAACTTCTTAAACATATATTTTAATGAAAGATCGTGTGTCCTTGTCTAAAGCCTCTCTAAGATCGTATTTTGTTTTTTGTTAGAACTTCTGATACTAATGTATCAGAAATTGATATGTATTTGATTGCAATGCACTTGATGGATGTGTCCGTAGACTCGCATATTGTCAAGAAACTGATGGACGGCATTTCGAACAAAATAATTTAAAATAATTATTATGCATAATTTGGATACTTTAAAGTACATTATGAATAAATCATTAGTTGTAATTTAGTTGAAAATAAATTAAAAAAAAAATTGTTTTTGTACCATTAAAAAAATATTTTAGTTAAAAATGTAATGTCGTTCAAAAGAGAATTAAATTCTCCTTTAAATGAGGTGTCGCATTATACCGATTTCTATTTAAAAAATTAACGATTACGTCACTACACCTATACCGGTGACGTCATCCCTACTCACGACCCAAACTTTCGACCTGTTTCTTGATTTCCCTCAAAACTCGACGGTTCTCGAAACAATGATAATATTCCATAATTTAGCCGTTATATATATATATATATATATATATATATAATATAATATATATAAAAAAGAAGTCTTTGCTGACAACGTTAGAAAACGGAGCTCTGAGGTTTATTGGGATTTATTCAGCGGTGAAATAAGTGTACTCTTTTAACTAAGTTTCAAGCTTTCGAAAATGTTTATTTTCATCATCAGGAAAAAACTGAAAATAAAGTGCGACTGTTAGTAAAGCATCCTCGAAATTAATTGTAGAAAATGGTTTTAAAAAAACGAGAAAAAACTTACGTTAGTGAGGTTCGTCTTTCGTGGATGTTTCACTTACAGGTGACAATTTTACGAACCACTCATTGATTGAGTCAAATTTTAAAATATTTAACACATATAAAAATTGCATGGTGTATAAGACCAAACTTAATAAATTATTATACTTTAACACATAATAAAAAGACAGTTAAAAAAGTTTACAACGGCCACGTGTGCCGGCCAACTGTTGAATGATAGAGATCATCAACAATCACAAATGGAGAACACAATACCAATTGCTCATATACCTCACTGAAATACATAGAAAGCATAACACCCAGACTGACAAGACTTTTTAAAGATGTCACCTAAAAGATGTCACTAAAAAAAATGGACATATAGTCAGTACCGCTGACGCAGTACAAAAGCAGATGGGTTGAGCACTTCAAAGAACTACTTGGTACCGAAGTGGAAAATGATGCGTCACCACCCCAAAGACCAAGAAATAACAC